TAGGGGGGGGGGTCAGGGGTCCAGAAACGGGCTGGTTGGTGGGAGGCCTTAGTACGTCACCTAGGAGCCAGGCAACCAAAACGATGAGGTAGTTGGGGGGGGGGGGATCGGGGTCAGAGACTGGGCTGGCTGGGGGGGGTCAGGGGTCCAGAGACTGGGCTGCAGGCAACCGCCCTGACAGCTTTGGCTGGAGGAGGGGCAGAGACTGGTTCCAGCGGGGCGGATACTAGGGGGCGGATCAGAACTGGGCTGGCTGGGCAGGTCAAAGGCAGGACAAGGGCGGATGCGCCCTGAGGTTAGGGGCGGGGGTCAGGGGTCCAGAGACTGGGCTGGGTAAGAATACGCTTGGGGGTGGGGGTAGGGGGAGGTGGGGGGGGGGCCAGACAACCAAGCGGGGCAGATACGATTCTGGTCGGGATAGGGGGGGGGGGTTGGGGGTAGGGTCTGGTCGGGATAGGGGGGGTTGGGGGTAGGGGGAGGGGGAAAGGTTTGGGGCGAAGCCAAAGAACGAAGAGGCTTCACTGTGCGCCAGGCCGGGGTCGGCGGACTGTTTGGGACTTTGGGGTTTAAAGGTTTCCGTTCTTGAGCTTGGGGTTCGGGCTCACTCTGCAAACTGCTTCCTGGTGGGGATCACAGCTTGGGAATTCCAACTTTCAGGGCTTTAGTTTCTCCATTGGGCTTCAACGCTAATTTCTATCAATCCCTTGCCATCGATCCGAACCCTGCAAGGCCCTGCCTTCCATCAGTGATGCACGTGGCCTCTTCGATGAACATTTTGCCGCTTCTTTGGGTCAACCTGAACCTTTACATCCCGAAGCTTCTTAATCACAGCCTACAGCCTGAAATCCTACATCCTACCTCTTCCTAGAAAAAGGGTTTCGAACCCTACACCTTAAACCCTAAACCCTTAAACTTAAACCCCTAAACCTTAAAGCCTAAACCCTCAACCTACATCCCACCTTTTTCCAGAACAAAGGGTTTGGAACCCTGAGCCCGAAACCCTCAACCCTCCTCCCACTTTTTTTAGAGAAAAAGAGCTTTTATAACCACAGTTTCCATTTGATTTCCATTTTCTTTTCCACTCGATTCTCCATTGTCCCAATATTAAACCCCCCTAAACCCTAAAGAACCCTACCCTAAACTTTAAACTTTAAACCCTAAACCCTAAACCATATTTTTCCACCCATATCACAGGGTTTTTGAGAGGCGCTCCGCGCTGTTGGCTCCGCGTCCGCTGCCTTGGACAGGATGGCCGCCTCAGCGATCCCTCCCCTGAGGAGTGGTTTAGGGTTTAGGGTTTAGGGTGTTGGGGAGTAGGGATACTGGAAAAGAAAATGGGAACTATGGGAATTATAGGGTTTATACAGGGGTTGTATTGGGGTTATATAGGGATAATGGAAAAGAAAATGGAAACTACTATAGTATAATGGGGTATACATTGGGATTAAGGGTTGAGGATGTGATTAGGGTTTAGGATTTAGGGTTTAGGGTTTAGGATTTAGGGTTGAGTATTTAGGGTTTAGTGTTTAGGGTTTAGGGTTGAGGGGGTCAGGGTTTCGGGTTTAAGGAGTTTGGAGGGGGTAGGTTTGACAATGATTTTGCAATTTTATTACGCTTAATCCCTAGAGAATCCTGCGTTATGGCATATTCAAGATTTTTTATAGGGTCCGCCAAAATCTACCCTAGTTTTGGGGTTTAGTCCTATCCGTTTAGGAATTACTTTTCAGTTGTAGTGTAGAAAAACTCCAAGGAAGCTACCAAGCATGTGCTTTTATCATAGGTCTGAGGGGACCACAGTTTAGGGTTTCCAAGCATCATCAAGCAACCATCATTTTCACAAGCCTTCACGTTCATATTCAGGATACTAACCCAAAGCCCTAAACCCCAAAACCCTCAACCCTAAACCTGATGTGTCAGGCGGAGGCTGTGTCCCTTGCAGATGCCTTGCGCACGGCAGAGGCCGCACAGGAAGCGCTGAGGCCACGCGCTTCGGGTTCAGGATTTGGGGGTAAGGGGTCTAGGGCTAGGGACCACTAGCCCTTAGAGCAAGCTATCGGCAGGGATGCAGGGGAGCCGTGGAAAAATCACTGTTTGGCTTGAAGCCTTCTTCTTTAGTGTATGTGCCAGGGCTCAAGGATTTAAGAGTAAATGATCCTCCAGCAATAGGTCCTTTTTCTGCAAAGAGGGTCCGCAACACCATAATCCCTACACAACCCCTATACAACCCTTAATACCATAGACACTGTCAAATTCCAACAATTTGACACAACCCCCATGTAAGACTGCAAGACTACCAGGTGCTGGCATGTAGGGGCAACCCATCGTTCTCAGGCATGCAGCAAAAGGAGCGCCTCGCCGTCCACAGCAGCTGAGCATCCTGGGGGGGAACAAGAATCTGTGGGAGGCCGCTGAGGGACTGGAGCCATTTGGGGATTTCCCAAAATTAGGCTTACAGTTAACAGTATGTAGTCCTCGTTGTTGGGACGGTCAAAGAAGGAACCAGAGCTTTCAGAACCGGCCTTGAATTACACCCATGAACCTTTAACCTTGAACTTTGTGGGGGGTTTTAGATTCTGTCGGCATTGGAGCCTTCCCTTCCTCCGGACCGACATGGAGCCCCACACCAAACAGAGCCGATTGAAGAGGAACAGAAAGTGCCTGGTGTGTATGTTCTTCGAGGAGTTGTAGGAGGTCGATAGATAGGTGCCTGTTGTGAAAAGCCTCGGCAGATCCTGGACGAGCCTGGCGTACCGTGCCCAAACTAGCAGGGAACTCCAGAAACAACATGTGTAGACTCCTGTAATCTTGCAAGGGTGCTGAAGGGGTTCCATGTTAGTTCGAGGGAGGTGAGCCCTAACTGCTAAATCCTATACATCCCGATATACCCCTGGTACAGGCCCTGCATTGGGTTCCATGTTTGTTTACAGGAGGGAAAAAGGATTGGTTCTGTTGCTCGTTGCCAGGTCTCCTGGGAGCAGAAAGGAAAGCCCTCGACAAATGTGGTGTCTCTTGGTTTGGTTCGTTGGCTTTCGGGGTTTTGGTTTTGGGTTGGTTTTTACTTATGGGTTTATAGCTTCAGGTTAGGGGTTTTATAGGGTTGAGGGCTTAGGGGTCAGAGGTTTAGGGATTTTGGGCTTTCTGGCCTTCAGAGCCCGAAGCCCTAGACTTCCAACCCAAAAGCTCAACAATGGTCACCTTCAATCGTAAACCCCCACACAGTGAACCCCAACCCCTACACCCTGAACACAAATCTCAAACCCCAAATTCAGTTGAACTTCAAGCATAGGCGCCCGGGCTAAGCTTGTTTGGGCTCTGTACTTGCGGGGTCAGGCAGTAGGTTAATAATGGCCATAATTAGGGTTACTATATGGGTTATAGGGCTTATGAACCTACTTACTAAGTACCGCTGGCCCTCCAAGTAATGGGCAACCTAGGTACGAGGCTGAAATCTGCTTCCGGACCACCTCGGACACGAAGGTTCGCGCATCCAGTGGGGACTTTGGGTAAATATTGGGGTTGTATAGGGTTTAGGGGTTTAGGGTTTAGGGTTCAGGGTTTAGGGGGATAATGGAAAAGAAATGGAAATTACTACATTATACTAGGGTATACATTGGGGTTATATAGGGATAGTTGAAAAATTGAAACTACTTGGGGCTATCTAGGGATAATGCAGCGGCTCCCTTCAATGGTTATCTACAGGCTGGGCCTGCATCAACAGTGTTATTCCTCCACATATGTATATTTATCTACATCTATTTCCAAAACCTACACTATGACCTATTGTCCTCCTTAAGTAGACAAACTATGGGAGATTTGGGGATCTTATTAATATATTGGCCAATTCCATATTCTATCTATCTTAAGGGGGGCTACCCCCCGCGCCACTTTATCATGTGCCTTTTGAGGAGTGGAAGCCCGTGAGGAGCCTCTACCTCCCGCAGTGGGAAGACGCTGTCTCTGCTTGAAAGTGGCGATTTATGGTTTAGGGTTTAGGGTTTAGGGTGGGGATCTGTTTTTGGGAGTTTGAGGTTTAGGCTTTCGGTGCCCAGGCGGAAATTCAGGGGCCCTAATTGTGGCATGTACCCAAATTCTGCAGCGAAAGTCCAGCTTGCTTCACTCAAGCAGCAGCGAGAAATTCGACACCCCGAAGGGTAAAGCTTATACCATTCACAGGCAAACCTAATTTTTTCCATGCGAATCCGTCTGTATGACTGAGAAGCCAGCGTACCAGTACAGAAAAGCCACAGAGGACTTGCCATAATCGCCATCGTGCGTCTACAGCAAAGGCGTCAACTGTGCTTTGACACCGACAGCGTAGCGTTAATGAAGGAAAAACCATTACCACTCAGACTATCTGACCTGACACCATTTCGAGGAGTTAGCCCTTCCCTGAATACTAGCGGCATGATTTTAACTCTATCCACCCCAAATCCCAACTTCCCACTAGCCAAAGCGGCCCTGATCCTGAAGCAACTTGAGGTCTCAAAGCCGCAAATCGCTACGAGACCCTCGCAGCGTTTGTTTTTGCTATCCCCTAGACTCTACGCAAGTTCTGAACCCCAAGCCCCAAACCCTAAATCCAAGCAATATGCCGTTGGAAAAGATGCGATGCAAAACCCTAAGCCCGCTAACACGTGTAGAGACATATGAACTGTAGTCTAAACTCCTTAAAGGGGGACTTACAGTGGATCAAATAGTAGAATTATGGGGGTTATTAAGGGGGATACTAGGAGTTTAGACTATCGCCCATATGGGTGGTTGTCAGAACTATGGTCCCTTTTTGGATCCCTACTATAATACGGCATCTAATATTTGGGGTACCCAAAAAGGGACCACAATTTTGACAACCACCCAAATGTTTAGACTATAGTCCCCTATAATCCCATATATAATACCAGTTTCCATTTGATTTTCCATGTTCTTTTCCATTTGAGTCTCCATTATTAAGGGGGATACTAGGAGTTGAGACTATAGCTCATATGCTTTTCTATTTTCAAAAACATTATCCCAATATTTCCCCAATATACTATAGTAGCTTCCATTTTCTGCTCCATTATCCCAATATAACCCCTACATAACCCTATGTTTTTCTATTTTCAAAAACTCAGGATGGGGGAGTTTAGACTACTAAACCCTAAACCCTAAACCCCAAACCCTAAACCATAAACCCTAAACTCTGAACCCTAAACCCTAAACCCTAAACTCTGAACCCTAAACTCTAAAAAAGCTCAGGATGGGCCTGATGAGGATGGAGCAACGGTGAGCACAGTGACTGCCTCCTCCCAGCACTGGCCTTCTTAGGGTTCAGGGCCTGGGGCATTGGGCTTAGCCCTTTTTAGGGGGATTCTAGGAACCCTTAAGGGTACATATAGGGTATATAGTAGGTGTATAAGGATCCTTAGAGGGCTGAAGGCTTAGGTTTGGGTCTCGCAGCTTTGGGCTCGGGGTTTGGGAGTTAAGGGATAATGGCGAATCACATGAAAAAGAAGATGGAGCATGAACTGGGCATTACAATTTCAGGAAGTGGGTTAGGGTTTCGGTTTTGGGGTTTGTTTTTAGGGTTTAGCTTCAGAGTTTGGACCCTCTTTGGCAATGCTGTTATGGCAAAGTCTGTCCCTGAGGCAGCAGTGGCACTCGAGGACATGGCCATGCAGCCTGGGGAGGCTTCGGAAGAGGGTCCTATACCATAATATACGATAATGTATTATAGTTCGTGATAAAACATTACAATATATTATAGCATATTATAACATACCATCATATATGATAATATACTATAATCTATCAGAATATATTAGAGTATACAAGAATCGAACTCCTTAAAAGGGGTTATATCTACCCCAATAATGTAGAATCAAATGAAAAAATGGAGACGGTTATTTATAGGGTTATACAAGGATTACAGCCGTTTTTTTTTTGTATTGTGGGGGCTTAAACAAGTAGCAATGTTGCCGTCCGCGAGGTTCCTTCCATAATAAATTCCACAATCCCTACTTAGCGCCTTGCCCAAGACACGAAGTGTTGACTGCTGCGCATACATACGTGATGTGTTTCTCGAGTTTTTGTGGTTGGATCAGCCCCCCAGATTTGGATGAGGCTTGGCGCCTCCGAGTGAGGGCCTCCGGTGCAGTTCTCGGAGGGGTTTGGGGTTTAGGGTTCAATGATTTTGGGGGGTGGGGCCCAAGGAATTGGAGAGTTCAGCACTCATGGGCGTGGCTCTGGGGCGTGCTCCTGGAGTCATTGTGCAAGGCTTTGTGGGTCAGTTTTCATATTGCGGTACTTATTCACATCCTAGAGATGTAACATCCTAGATATGGAGCGCCTGCTGGGATGAGTCATCATTTGGAGCCCGTACTGATGTAGGGTTGGAGGGTTGAGGCCTCAGGGTCGCCTGACTGTAGCTCGAGAAGCCTTGATGTAAGGTGGTGCTTCTATCATTGTTTTCGCTGGGAATGTTGCTGAGTGTATTTGTCACGAAAGCTCTGCCTGAGGAGGGTCTTCGTTCATATACCCGAACGTAGTGAGCTGGGTAGTGTGGGTCTTGGGGACAGTTGTGTGTGGCCATAATTGTGAATCCTGCACTCCCCGAAACTAACATGGAAACCCAAAAGGGGCCGACAAAGACTACTGTCCTTTTGCAAAGGGCCCACATACGTTTGCATGTTAGTCCGTAGTCTAAACTCCTCAAAGGAGGTTTATGTAACGGATTCTATACGGGAGCATTGTAGGGGTTATGATTGGGTATGCATGGAGTTTAGACTATAGCTGATCAGCGATGGGCCCTAAACCCTAAACCCAAAGGGTTCCATGTTAGTCTGTAGGGCAGTACCCCGTATCAGCTTTCACCAGGTGGCAACTGGTCGTCACCCACGCCCTGGCAAGAGCAGGATGTGAGCCACGAGGCCCTTGAAGGATATCACAGGACTATATACAATATGTTATAGTATACTATAAGTTATCATGGTATATCATATCATATTTGTGTGTATTAAAGTATAGGAGCCTGTAGTTTTTTTTGATAATAATCTAGGGCGTCCGCAAGACAGATTCCGATTGCAGATTAGCTTTGGAAGCCCTAACTTCCCTTTGTTGCACTTCTGGTGAAGATCCCTTACTTATGTATCCCCTGAATAGTTTGGAAGTCTCTATAATAAGTGTCATAGTATGTAGACGCTTACAAAATTTTGGAACTCCCATGTATAGCTGTCCGCAGGCTTTCACTTAGCTGGGGTATTGTGGAGTTTAAGCCCTAAACCCTAAACCTTGAACCCTAAACTCTGAGCACTAAACCCTAAGCAAGCAACCCTCAACCCACAACCCTCAACCTTGTTTCCTGCAAGTTCAGAAGCTGCTAGCCAGGTTCTCCTCCTCATTGACAAACCGGAAGTCAGGCCATAGTAGCCGTTGGTCACTTAACTTGGAGGGTTCATTGGGACTATCATACGGGGTATTCAGGGAGATACTACGAGTTTAGACTATGGCTCACACAGGGATATATAGGGATGGTATAGGGGTCAGGAGTCACCGGGGTAGTTTTCGGGTTTAGGTTTCAGGGTCAAGGGGACTTTCTAAGTAGCATAGGGTTACAAGATTGCTCCACGCCCCACAATTGACCTGGAGCCCATGTAGCTGCCTTTTTAGGGGACAATGATCTTGGCAGGGCGGCTGTTTAAGTTCCATGTTAGTAAACAAATTGCAGGGCTTCGTTTTGGGATGCTGTAAAGGGCAACAGATCGCCCCCAAAAGAGATGGAAGAAAATCTAGATCACGGCCGAAAATCTACAGCCATTGTCAGGAGTTTCTTAGGCTCATCTAGTATGCTGGAGACAGGTTGACTCCACGTAGCTGGAATCCTCGTTGCCCCTACACCCTAGACCTCAACCCCTACACTCTAAAGCTAAGCTCCAACGGTCCCAAAGTCCAAATTCTTTCTCGGCCTGCAGGGGGAATGCTTTCTCCTACACTCTGGAGTTTGAAGTGGCAACTGACGGCGACGTGCCCGCGGAGCTTCCGCAGAACGTCCATTTCGAAGTTCAGGTGCATGCACCCAGAATCCCTCTGCTCAAGTGCCTGGACCCAAAAGCTTCGAAACACGAAGCCCCAGAGCCTTGATGCTGAACAGCTAAATGCTAAATCCAAAACCCCTAAGCCCTGAACCCCAAGCTCACTTGCGCCAGGTGCAGGGTAGGAAGCGCCGGGGAAGCAGCAAGTTCTCGGATTGGGTGGGGCTTCGCAGCTTCTGCACTATGCCGGAGCAGGCTGCACCATACTGCGGGTTGCAAAGGGGAAAGCGTCGGGCTTAAAAGCTTTTGTACGGGTATATACATGTATTTATATGTATATATTCATAGGGATATACAGCCCCAATAGTGGAGGATTACATGGGAAACATGAAGCAGGAAATGTAAACTGAGGATACTTAGTGGCTTTTAAGTCTTTTTGGTTTGGGCTGGGGCTTGCGTTTGGGACAGATTGGCTGTTTGTGGATTTGAGGTTTAGTGTTTTTTTCGTTCTTGGTGTGCGGTTTCCGGTTTGGAGCTCTGTATATTCCAGACAGGTGCAGTTTGTGTAGTATGCAAGCATCGCGTTCCGAGCTGGCGGGACAAGGGAATTAGGGTTTAGGATTTAGGGTTCAGGGGCAAATCCAGACTTTTATTCCTCTCCGTCAGCGAAATTAAGCTTTGTGAGCCGCCCTCACACTCTGCCCTTTCACTCTTCAGAGTCCCTTGTTCGTCGGATCCTGTTGTTGACTGCCCTGCCACCCTTCGTCCTAACGGCTCCCCCACGCCAAAAGACTGTAACCCTATTGTAAGAACATTATAACAATGCTATAATTCTAATAATGCTATGGCAATACCTTAGTAATATTATAGCAATAGTTGGTAATACTATAACAATACTATAACAATACTATAAACATTGTAAGCTTCAAACTAAGCCAATTTGGATTGCACAGGGGACCTCAAGCAGGAGTTTTGGACATTTGTGACCCTGAGCTGTAGAAACTCAACACTGGGCCTTTTCCCGTAAACCCAAACCCTGAGCTGAGCTCCACACGCTGAATAGGTGGAAGATACCTCAAAAGTGCTGGTTCGTTCTTTGGTGGAGCGAGCTGTAGCCGCTGATGCCATCAAAGCCAGCTTTGGGTATGAGGCCAGGATGCCTTTCTGAAGGGTTTGTGCTTCGTGGTTCGCAGGGGACATGAGGACTCTGGAGACTTCTTCCCAGGTAGGGTAGCAAACGGTTTCCCTGTACTATGTGCGGCGGTCTCAAAGTAGACCGTCCAACACCGCCGCTGCCGCCAATGCCGCCGATGCTGCCGCCGCTGCCGCCACCACCGCCGCACCCTCGCTGCAGCAGCTGCCCCAACCACCGCCACAGCTGCCGCCACCACACCCCGGAATTTTCCTGAGAGAGACCAGGTTGAGCAGGCTAGACCGTAGATCCTAAACCACGACTGCAAGAACCCTACATTACATCTGAATCTCCACCTTTAACCTGAAATCCGAAACCCCACGCCCTTAGGATCTCCCAGCCAAAGCCCCTGCTGCTTCTCTAGAACCCCAGAGCAGGAGCTGCGTTTCCGTGTCCGCGGGGCTACTGGGCCATTGTTGAATTCCTGTGTCATTCTTTATAAGGGAAGCTGTTCATAAATGGTTGTGGGGCCTGTAAAGTGCCACCAAGATTCGAGCCTTGAATCTGTTAAGAGAAGGTTTTCAAACTTTGGGTTTGCGGCGCGGGGGTCGGTGATGAGCTTCCCTCGGACTAAGGGAGAAGATGTCAGCCCTTAAGGACAATCAGTCCATAAGAAAGAGCCGTACTTCTAGTGGATCTCTACTCCTGGTGGTAGTCCAGCAACTGCCAGCACGGGACCTGTGGATTTTGTCCGGAGCTCTCAAACTGGAATGACGGTGCCAGCGCATGTGCTGCGACGGGTTGAGATCAAGGGATTGGCTGCGGCAGTACTGCAGGTCGTGCACAAAACAGGAAAAAGGGCTTGTTCTTGTGGGCAGATGTTGAATTGATTCTAAAGGGTTGACAAAAACGCAATGCGTTAAAGGGCTTAAAGGCTAATCCCTCGAGAAGATTAGCACGCTGATTCGCCCTGGCAAACAACTAGAAGCCCAAGCTCGTAAACCCTATAGTCCCCCTTAAGTAGATAGAATATGGGGTATATGGGGATCCTATTATAACATACCCAAAGCCATATTCTATCTACTCAGGGCGACTATAACTCCTAAATCCTCATCCTTGAAGCCCAATGCCTAAACCTTGACTCAAACCTTAATCCTGGCATCTATTCTGTTTATGGGCAAAAGCCTGCATGACCCTAGGTGTATGATGAGGGTTTTGGTTTATAGGTTCATGCAAGATCTTGTCCCTCCTCCGCTGGCCCCAAGGCCCCATAGTTAAACCCATACTAGGGCTCCATGGTTCCAACCTCAACCCGAAAGGCTAGGTTCTACACCTAGCCCTAAGCCATACTAAACCCAAAACCTAAAACCCTAAACCCTAGTCTAGGGCCCCATAGTCCCCACCTCAGAAAAATGGACGTCAGGTCAACTCGCAGGGCTTCAGCGCGCCTTCGGAGCCTTCAGAGACACAGATGCTTCAAATGGCGATCCTCTGCTCAGTGTTGGCGACCTGTTTGGGGTTTAGGGTTTAGGGTCCGAGGTTAAGGTTTTATGGTGAAGGGATGAGGGTTTTGGGACCGGGCTTCAGCCTCGGGAGTTAGGCTTTAGGGCTCAGGGTTCAGGGTTCAGGGTTCGTTGTGATTAGAATTTCTTTTCTTGCTGCTGATGTTGGAGTTGGAATTGGTACAGGAATTAACAGTACTGCTTTCATTCCTCTGATTCCTCTCCTGCTTTCTTCTCTTCGCATAATACGTCTTCTTTGTTCCTGACTTGAGTTTGCTGGCTTGCTCAAGTAAGACTTACTCTCGTCAACTCTTTGGCTCTCTTCGTCAATGCGTTTGGGACTCCTCACCTCTTTGAAGTCTGATGCGGTTTCCGTACGGGCTGTGGACGAGATAAGGTCCTCGGGATTTCCTGGTTTGGAAATGTAGAAGCTTCATCATTTCAATGACATTCTTAGCCCAAAGCCACTGCCTATCCAATTGTCTTGCTCAAAGCCTGCTTGTTTCTTTCAGCCTAAATTTTCAGTTGCAGGGTGAGGACATAGGGCTGAGTCCTGTACCGGAACAGCCTCAAAATCCCACATACTAAATCCTGGCGCCAGAGGCTCTCAAACATGTCTGTTGCTTCCCCCTAAACCCTCAGCCTTAAGGCCCTAAAGCCTAAACCCTAAGGCCTAAGATCTACCACTAGGGCCCGGCCAATTGGCTGTTTCTACAAGACGGAAAAGGTGCGTTGCAAAACAAGGAACTAAACCCCGAGCCCCTAAATGCAGTATGGAGAAATCTGTCACTACGAGGTTGCCCGCTGCAGGGGAGCTTCCGCCCTTCCCTGCCTTCTTGGGACGAGGTTATTGCCTCATGGAGGCCATCGTAAGGTTGAAAGGCAAGCTCCAAACCTAAGTCTTAGCTAGGTGAATTCGAAGGATTGAGTCTGAATTGAGAACTGCTATTATTGCAATCACGATTATTGCTATCCGCATGTTTCTTGGCGATGTTCCTAAAGCTGCAGCGAAGTGCGATAATCGTTGT